CGCAGCCCTACCCCTCTCCCTCCTCGTCTCTTGCGGTGCTTGGCGAAGCCCTGCTGGAGTACCACGCTCCTCCACCACCACCACGCCGTCGTGCTGCTGCTGGATGGAGTCTTCCCCAACCTCTCCTTCTCCCCTTGCTGGATCAAGGCGTAGGAGACGTCACCGGGCTGTACGTGTGTTGAACGCGGAGGTGCCGTCCGTTCGGCACTAGGATCATCGGTGATTTGAATCACGACGAGTACGACTCCATCAACCCTGTTCACTTGAACGCTTCTGCTTAGCGATCTACAAGGGTATGTAGATGCACTCTCCTTTCCTCGTTGCTAGATTACTCCATAGATTAATCTTGGTGATGCGTAGAAAATTTTGAATTTCTTCTACGTTCCCCAATAGTCAGTTCAACAAAGCATTCTACCATTATTGTGTCCTCAATGTTGTCAAAATCCTTCATTACACTTAATTTATGCTATGATTATAAATACAAAACCATCATGTAACATTTGAGCTAGTCTTAGAGGCGAGACTTGGAATTTATTTACCGTTTATTATTACTATATAGGTGCATGAGTTTTTTTCTGAGCCTCGTGTGTTGGGAAATGTTGCATGGAAAACATAAAAATTCGACGCACATGCAATATTTATCCATGGAGATGCATAGCAACGAGAGGGGAGAGTGTGTCTACGTATCCTCGTAGACCGTAAGCGGAAGCGTTTAGTAACCCGGTTGATGTAGTCAAACTTCTTCACGATCCAACCGACCGAGTACCAAACGTACGACACCTCCGCGTTCAGCACACGTTCAGCTCGGTGACGTCCTCGTCTTCTTGATCCAGCAACACAGCAAAGTAGTGGATGCGTTCTGGCAGCACAACGGCGTGGTGACGGTGGTGATAATGCTATCTCCGCAGGGCTTCGCCTAAGCACTACGAAAATATGACCGATGAACGAAACCGTAGAGGGGGGCGCCGCACACGGCTAAGAGATTGTCGTGGTTCTGTGTGGCGCCCCCCTCCCACACACACACACACATGGGGGGAGCAGCCAGGAGGCGCCCAAGTAGGGCTGAATCCTACTTGGGCTCCTGCCCTAGCTGCTACTGGTAAGTATGCCGGAGGGGGAAAGGAAAGGGGGAGAGGGAAGGAAGGGGGAGGCCGAATCCCCCTCCTTCCTTTCTCCCATAGGCCAGCTTCCATAGGGGGTTGCGCCAGCCCCTTGTGGGCTGGTGTGCTCCCCTCTAATGGCCCAACAGGCCCATCATCCTCCCTGTGGTGTCCGGAACCCCTTCTAGTGATCCGATGTCTACACGGTGCACTCCGAAACTCTTCTGGTGTCCGAATAGTATCGTCCTATATATCAATCTTTACCTCCGGACCATTCTAGAGCTCCTCGTCATGTTCATGATCTCATCCGGGACTCCGAACTACATTCGGTCACCAAATCATATAACTCATATAACACTCTATCGTCAACGAACGTTAAGCGTGCGGACCCTACGGGTTCAAGAACTATGTAGACATGACCGAGACACCTCTCCGGTCAATAACCAATAGTGGAACCTGGATGTCCATATTGGTTCCTACATATTCTACGAAGATCTTTATCGGTTGAACCTTATGACAACATACGTAATTCCCTTTGTCCATCGGTATGTTATTTGCCCGAGATTCGATGGTCATGTACCTAGTTCAATCTTGTAACCGGCAAGTCTCTTTACTCGTTCCGTAATACATCTTGCAACTCACTCCTTAGTCACTTTGTTTGGAAGGATTCTTATAATGTGTTTTACCGAGAGGGCCTAGAGATACGTCTCCGATACACGGAGTGACAAATCCTAATCTCAATCTATGCCAACTCAACAAACACCTTCCGAGATTCCTGTAGAGCGTCTTTATGATCACCCAGTTACGTTGTGATATTTGATAGCACACAAGGCATTTTTCCGGTATCCGGGAGTTACATAATCTCATAGTCGAAGGAATATGTATTTGACATTAAGAAAGCAATAGCAATAAACTGAACCATCAAATGCTAAGCTAACGGATGGGTCTTGTCCATCACATCATTCTCCTAATGATGTGATCCCGTTATCAAGTGACAACACATGTTTATGGTTAGGAAACCTTAAGCATCTTTGATCAACGAGTTAGTCTAGTAGAGGCTCACTAGGGACACGGTATTTGTTTATGTATCCACACATGTATCTAAGTTTCCAATCAATACAATTCTAGCATGAATAATAAACCTTTATCATGAATAAGGAAATATAAAATAACAACTTCATTATTGCCTCTAGGGCATATTTCCTTCATCGTGATTATTGCAGACTCGAGAACCATAGCAATTATAGTATAGAACATAAAAAACAATTATAAAATTGGAAATACATGATAACATTTTGTTATTTTCTTTGTGGCATATTCTCAATAGTCAACACTTGCACTATAGTCAATAATCTACTTTACATAACTTCCTTTAACAAATGGCTATCCGGTATTGTTCATGCTTTGCTCGTGGTAAAGTCTTCATCATCAGGTATGACACGTGATGAGCGATATTTTTGCGCTCACATACCTTTGTTTAAACCGGATAATCTCACAATTTCTAAGAAAATATATTACTAATGACTAATGAATGCAAGAGATCCCGAAATCCATGTATAATGTGTTTCTGAAGAAATTAAAGAGCCTAAACATGGAAGGAAATCAACAATTTGGTGAAAACAAGAAGTATGGACGAAGGAAGGAATTGGAGGTGCACCAGACAAAACATAGCAAAAGACAACCTTTGGTACGAGCACAAGCGCTCGTACCAACGGCCGTACTAGGCGCTGATGCGTCCGAGTCTCCGTTTTACCATAAACTAGACGCAAACCAGAGGGAGGTATACGGGTTTTTGAACCGTGGCCACGTACGTGTCTGACCTCCCGTTCCAACCTAAAAACATCTCTCGCACCGGCGCCCTCTCCGATGCATGAAGATCCGTAGCTTCACTTCCCGGTGCTCACAACTAGACGTGGGGAACAACAAGGCCTTGAAAATACGGACGTTGTGAAGATTTAGACTAGGATAACTTTTGCAACGTTAAAAAATGTCATATCCACTTTTTGCTTAATGAAATATCTTGAAACTTTGATCAATGTGGTTCATTTAAATGAAAATCATCCGGTTTGCATAAAAATCATCCGGTTTGTTCAAATTTGGTTTGAAATGTGTCCAGACATTTCAGGTACACTTTTGGATGGGAGCCTCCCGTATCCATGTTTGTGGATGAACACTTTGTCTGGTCTAGGGGAATGTGTTGAAGATGCCCTTACCCCTATTCAGATGCAACCTCTGCCAACGTCTGTGCATCATGCAACCATACCCTTCCCTCTCGTTAGAGCATCTACAGTCGGACGCCTCAAACAGCCCTTTACTCCCGGGCGCATGGCCCGATGCGGATGGTCAGTGACTGACTGGTAAAAAATGACCTAGATGAGCGCCTGAAATAGGCCTCAAACGCACGGGCTGACCGACACCCATCATATTTAGCCTAAATTCGGGATGGATATGGGACAGCCCGACTGTGTCCGCCACGTCGGACTGATGTTGGGGTCCCACAAGAAAACACTCGGAAACCTAACGGTCCGACGGGTGTATTCTTTGGTGAGGAGTGAACGTCATGTGGCACCACTCTGGCTCGCCACCCGAGGACCAACATTCGGCTATTTAAGCAGACGACATCCCCCAGCCCTAGCCACATCCACTTCCTCCATCTCCGCGCTGCCACTACAAGCTACAATCTCTCTCCCTCTCCGCCTCACTCTTCCCTCGCCGTCCATCTCCACCATGGCCCGACGGAAGAAGACCACTTATGCTTGGATGTTGGAAGAGATCTGGGCGAGGTGTGCCACCCGAATCGCAGCCGGCCTGCCTCCGGACTCGCCGGAGCCGAAGGAAGAGGAGGAGGAGGGGGGGTGTGCAGCAGCCGGTCCCCATGGAGGTGGCGGATACTAAGGAGGAGGAGGTGACGGAGCTGGAGGAGTAGCCGGCATTGGTTGCAGGCTTCACCATGTAGGACGCTATGCCGGAGTTTGAGGTCGCCCAAGCGACGACGATGGCGGAGGAGCATGCCATTTTGCTGTCCATCCAGGAAGAGGCTTTTGTCGAGGCCAAACGGTAGTTCATCCGGCAAGAACAGGCGGCGACCAATGCGCTTTTCATCAAAATGGAGGCGGACGCCGACACAGAGGAGCCGGAGTTGCAACTGCTGGCCATGTACCCAAAGATGGGCACGGAGATCGTGAACATATTCGACCACGATGAGTAGTGTATTGATCTACGTAGTATGTATATGTTCTTTTTTGCATGCTTTGTATGGTTTTGAGGATTATATTATGAGGTGTCTGAAATTAAAGAACGGCTCGGTCACTATCCGTACGTGCCCGGTGCGTCTGAGGGCCAGATTTGTTGTGGGTGCCTTTAGATGCTCTTACTTATGTACCTCGCCTCGGGTGGCCGAAGTCGGCCAGGTACGGCAAATTAAGACGGCGCGTGCCGGTCCTGGCTCGCGAAGACGTCGACCTCATGTCGTCGCGATTGGTGTTGGTTCCGTCGTCAGCTCGTGCGAAATAATTCCAGGAAGGAAACGGTGAGATCTATCACTTACGTGGGTGAGCATGCACGCAACAGAAGTCAGAAGCATGGGTGCACCACTTGACGTACGATCGCAACCACTTTGATCCAACCGAACTGCGAGCGCGCGATGGAGTGGCCGGCATAGTGGACTCATCGTCGTCGAGGCCAGCGCACGTTACGCACGGGATCACAAATTCATAACTGCTTCCCTCTCTTTACTCATAACATGATGATGTATCACCACCAGGAACAGGAAGTCATTGGCTTCCCTCTCCCATGGAGTACGTGTCGAACGTGTGTACTTACGTGCTGCTTATTTAGGCTGAAGAAGAAGACCTGGGTACGTACACGTGTAAGCTAGCTCGACTAGACTAGAAGACTAGATCACTTGAACTGGATGGGGTACGCCGGCGACTTGTCCGGGTTGAACAGCCCGAAGTGCTTCTCCACGAGCTCCCCTCTCTTGAAGTTTTCGTTGAACATGCCGAAGATGTACGTCTCCAGCGCGCCACGCCTCTTGGGCGTGCCCCCGCCGACGTGGTCGATCAGTCCCTGGTTGTAGGCTCTCGCGTTGTCCGCCGTCGCAGCGAACCCGCTCGCCGACGGCCACCCGCTCTCCGACACCACCACCCTCACCCCCGGCGCCCCGGCCTTCTCCAGGGCGGCGACCACGGCGTCCACCATCGCGTCGAACAGGCACGTGTAGGTCAGCCCGTTCTTGTCGTCCCGCACCGTGGGTCCCGGCCGGAACGTGGCGTAGTTGAGCTTGATGTTCTGCGGGTCGCGCTTGTAGGCGAAGTAGGGGTACACGTTGGCCAGCAGCGGCGCGCCGGTGCTCGCCAGGAGCCGGGCCACGTCCGTCATGTAGGCATTCGCGAACACGCCCTCGGAGGGCGGGAAGGACTTGGCCACCTCGTCGAACCGGATGGAGGTGGACACCTTGATGGCGCCGAGCCCAGCGGCGGAGAGAGCCGCGTTGAGGTTCCGCATGGCCGGCACGATGCTCTGGGTGGCGCCTCCCTGGACCTCGTTACCGGCGGCGATGTACTTGATGTTCACGGCCGGGTAGTATGGCCGGACGTTTTTCTGCACCCAGGACGCCGCGTTGGAGGTGCTGGCGGCGAGGCTGGCGAGCTGGTCGTTGCCGACGTCGAGGATGAGGCTGATGCCGGAGTTACGGAGCGCGGAGAGGGCCTTGGCGTCGGCGAAGTAGATGCGCATGCCGGTGATGCCCTTGGACCTGTAGAGCTGCACCACGTCGTTCGCCGGCGGGAGGTTGTTGGCGATCACGCCGTAGCACACGCCGATGGATTGCACACCTGCGCGCATGCGGATAAGAGTGGCATCCGTTTAGCTGTCGTAGGAGTTGACGTGGAAGACTACCATCCATTGAATCGTACACATGTTAAGATATCTCCAAGTGGTACATGCGTCGCCTTAAATAATTCACATGTTTGATTTGTGATACGAAATCTCGTAGGATTTATACTATAAAACTCTCGTTGGAATCCTTTTACAAGAATTCCTCTGCATGCACTGCGGTGTTTTGAACAAAAATGTTTGTGTCCACTCAAATTTCTTAAAAACCTTGGAACGAGAGGAACTCTTCAACGGCTCCATGGATTTGCTTTGCCTCGTGACCACACTCATATATAGTAGTTGGATGCATTCAAAGCAGATACTAGAAAAATACAAGAACATGAGAGAATATACGTACTTGTAGGAACAGAAACGAATGCTCCGATGAAGAGAGCAACGGCAAACATGGAAGCAACATCCTTTCCAGCCATTGCTGCTAGCTTAGCCCCCTGTCTGTATCTGCTGCTCTCCAGTGCTACCCACTGCTACTAGGAGCTGGTGTGTGCCTATGCATCTGCACTACCCGCCGCTTTTATACACAGCTCCTCCGCCCGCCTGTGTACGTGGTCGGGTTGCCACTTTTGACTCCGCCAAAACCGATGCATGGCGCGCGTCGTGCGGCCTAACCGGTCTTGTCTTCTTCCACCTTTCTTCCACGGAAAAGTCCGGGTGTTGTGGAAAAGGCCTCCGTTTTCTTCGATGGTGTACTAGTAGAGCGAGCTGGCCATGCTCTCTCGTGCTACTTAACAGGTTGGTAGCCCTGTTCCACTCCCGTTTGCACAGACGGGGTCGTAGCGCGTTGAAGAGGACAAAAAGTATCCTTAGAAAAAGTCCTTCTTAGAGATTTTTTTATCAAATTGGAGGGACTTTTTAAGACTAAACTAGCCATTTGAGATTAAATGAGGAAGACTCTTAAGGAGAGATTTTTTGGGACTTCTTTAACAATGCCCCTTCATGCACCCATTGGCCCGCCATCTCATGGTGTTGTTTGATTATTATTTTTCTATATACTAAGGGTAACATGGTCATTTAATAACCTTTAGGAAGGGACTAGGGACTTTTTAGTCTCTGAAAACAAACAGGGAGGGATTTTTTAGGGACTAGGGACTTTTTAGTTGGAACTAGAAAAAGTCCTAAGACTAGAGAACCAAACACCATCTTAGACGAAGTCAGTAGGGGAGACTTAACGTCAGAAACATTCACAAACTAGAAGGATAGGATCCGGGCTAGGTTGCGGCCGGTGGGTCACAGGCTCACAGCGAGACGTAGATTGCTAGCGTGTGGGTTGGTGATTGGGTGAGCTGCGCTCCCTGTAATCCTGAAACTTGTAAAACTTTCTCCTTAATGAAATAAAGCGCAAAGCTCTTGCGTGTTTCGAAAAAAAAAACATTAACAAACACAGAGCTGGCCGCTGAAATTGAAAAACTATTAGAACTTGAAGAAATTCAATGGAGGCAACGGAGTACTTTCAGAATTTTGCGTCGGCTCGGCGGAACAAGAACCGGATCAGCCGGCTGAAAGATGATCAAGGTAACTGGGGAGATGGCACGGCTTACTTAAATAGATGAAACGGACACCATGGAGATGAGTGAAGCTTTGACAAAGCCTTTCGCAGTAGAAGATGTGAAGAACGCAAATTCTTGAGGGATGGATTGATACTGTTATAGTACTTGTTCCCAAGGTGGTTACGAATTAGAAAAATTCCCAATATAGCCCAATCAGTTTATGCAATGTTTTGTACAAGGTTATCTTAAAACTGATCGCTCTCCATTTAAAAGGAATCCTTGATGAGGTAATCTCAACTGTCCAAAGTGCTTTTGTTCCTCGAAGGTTCATAATTGAGAATATTCTGTTGGCTTATGGGTGTATGCATAAATTGAAAGTTACAAAGGCTGGCAAGACGGGTTACTGTGATGTAAAGTTGGATATGCATATGGCTTACAATCATGTTGTGGGTCTTTCTAGAAAGGATGATGCTTCAGTTAGGTTTTAATGCAGACTTTTCTTATCCCCATGAGGAGTCCGATACAATAATCAAGAAACTGAAAGTTTTGTGCCTTCAAGGGACTCCTACATGGAGATCCGCTTTCCCCATATTTGTTCCTTATCTGTGCGGAAGGGTTATTCTGGCTCAAAAGGAGGAGGTCTATGGCACTGAAGGTGACCAGGTGTGCAGAAATGCACCATCAGTCTCTCATTTACTTTTTTTTGTTGATGATTCCATTATATTTATCAAAATGGATTTGATTAATGCAATCTCATAGAGATAAGATCTTGACCAATACCGTGACAGTTTGTGACAACTAGTTAGTGATGCAAAGTGCAATGTTCTTTTAAGCCCAAATTGTGGGTTTGGATGAAAGTCAAAGCTTTATGTACTTGTTAGAAAGGATGATTCAGTGAATTAAGGGGTGGAAAGAAAAGCTTTTGTCCATGGGGCAAAGGAAACACTACTTAAGTGTGTTATTCAATCCATACTAATTTTTGATATGTCAGCTTTGAAATTTCCAAAGAAGCTTTGCAAATAGATGAATGTCATAATGGTCTGATTTTGGTGGGGCAATTCTGATGAACAAAAATATATGCATTGAGCGCCATGGTGGAGTCTATGTGTGCCAAAGAAGTTGGGGGAATGGGCTTCATAGATCTACAAGCTTCTAATCTAGCAATGCTAGCAAAACAAAGTTGGCATCTTATTCTTCATAGATCTGCATGCTTCTAATCTAGCAATGCTAGCAAGACAAAGTTGGCATCTTATTACTAAGTCTGATTCTTTGTGTGCTCGTGTCTTACAGGCCATGTATTACCCAAATGGGAATGTGCTAAAAGTATGAACAAAGAAGGGCTCTTCTTTCACCTGGCAGAGCATAGTTGCTAGTTTGCAAGTGTTTAAGAGGGGCCATATCTCGAGAGAGATGTCAGGTACTCACATTGATACATGGAGGATCATTGCATCCCTACCGGCCCAACGAGAAAGATAATCACCAGGAGACCATGTTCTTCTAATACATGTTGATGAGATAATTAACCATTTAATGGGATCTTGGGATGATGACCTAATCAGGGATACTTTTATACCTATTGATGCAGAAAGAATTTTTAGGATCCCAATGAATACTTATGTTTTGGAAGATTTCATTGTATGGAACAAAACATGATTGTTTACCTTCTCAGTCCGCTTAGCATATTATTCTAAATGTGATCATCAATTTGGGCGAGAATGAGAAGGGAAGATGGTTAGCGAATGGCCGAAGGGAATCCGGTGTGGGAAATTCTATGGAAGTTTTGTATGTTCCCAGCAAAGTGATATTTTTACTTGGAAGACACATCATGGAACAATTCCGGCCTATGCAATGTTGGTAGCTAGACATATTTCAGAGTCTCCACAATGTCCGGTATGTAAAGCTAGAGCAGAGAACATCATGCATTTACTCTTCGCTTGTGAGCGAGCCCGACAGGTTTGGAAGTCTTTCAGAATCTATGATATAATTGAAGAAGTGCTTTCTACTAACAAGTCGGGGTCCATCGTTTCGGAGGACATCCTTTATAACAGCCACTGATCATCGTCAATTCTTGGGCAAATCAGCATGAAGGAAATTTTCACAGTGGGCGCCTGGTACATTTAGTGGAAAAGGCGTGAACTTTTGAAAGGCCAACAATTAGCTTCACCAGCTAGGATAGCATTTGCTATCCAGGCATTCACCTCCAACCATTCTGACAGACGAGTAGTGAATGCACATGAAATATCATGGACGAAGCCACCATGGGGTGCAATAGGGGCAGTCATTTGCAATTATCCTGGTGAAGCTGTAGCAGGAGCATCTGAGAGAATTTTCAATGTTTGAAGTCTGGCTACAACGGAAGCGCGGGTGCTTGAAAAAGGTCTTGCTTTAGTGGACCAAATGCGATGCTCTCCAATATCGTCGAATCTGATTTTATGGAACTTATCCAACTATGCAATAGAAGCAATTTGGGCGAAATTCTTTATGATGGAGTCGAGGATAGGGAATATTTCTTTCCAACACTGCCTGAGGGATGCAAATAAGGTGGCTCATACTATAGTTAGGCATGTTTATGATTCATATTATGTCTTAGTTTGGGATGGAGATCCCCCTAGTTTTATCATGCCTCTTGTAATAGACCGTGTAACTATTTGATTTTGCAATAAAGAGCCACAAGACATTCCATTAAAAAATAGGTTGGTACTAGCAATTTCTTCTGGGAGCATAGGGATACGTACCTGATGTACTACTACATGGTCTATCAACCGTTGGAATTTTGTTTATCAACCGAAAAATTCAAAGAGTTCGCTTAATTTTGCAGTTCAACCTTCTCTCCATTCATTTAACAGTTTTTTCCAAACTATATATGTTTTTAAAACTTGGTGTCTGATTCAGGATCTATGTCCACAATCCTCTTCATCTCGACGACATGTTCAAAACAAAATCAATGTTGAACATGGTTTGAATATTGATTCTTTTTATTTGCTGAAATTGATGAAACTTTCTAGAATCAAGTGTCTGCTAGGCTTCAGTCGAATGATCTTTGCCTAGGATCGCCTGGGTCATCAGCTGTCAGATCTAGTTCCTATGGCCGTTGGATCTCAATTGCAGCACCTTGTCTTGATGTCCTCCTTTACCTCATTCCTACGTAGGCCCTAGATCCCATATGCACCGATGCAACAATGCCACTGGTAGCAACGTGTTTTGTGTTGCAGCAGCCGCACCAGCCGTCTCAACATCGCCAACAACACTACTCGCAGTAGTTGCATCAACCGTGGTATCATCGCCATCAACTTCGCTTGAAGCAGCCGTGTGAGACATAACAACATCTAAACATCATTAACCATGCTACTCACAGCAGCCTCGTTGCATCGCCAACACTGCATTGCTTGTAACAAACCCCAACTTTTTGCAGCACCCCACCGTCCCCTTGCAGTAGCATGTGGTGGATCTCTCAGTAGACCTCGTCATCCTAGCATTTCCGGCAAGCAATGGTTGGTGGTCGTCTCATAGCACGCGGGCACCCTTGCAGCACCAGTTGTACCTTGCAGCATCGGTTTTGCTTATCACAACACTATACGAAGCAACGCCGGCGGCCTAGCAACGGGGATAGCAAATATAGCATCACTAGACAGGCTCGCAACAACTGATGCATGTTCGCAGCACCACAGCCCTTGCAGCATCATCGAATGCCACCCCAGCGCAGCTCACAGTAACCATGCCGCCCCATCACAACAGGGGTGTGGTGCCTCTCGCAACAGCCATCCAAACATCACTGTCCCATCTTGCAGCGCGAGCACCGGCCTCTCTCCTCATGTTTGTATGGGGAGATGCATAGTGCCAATTGGACAATAACCGCTTGTGGGAGGTGCTTCCATGGCAGTCTGCTGCAAGGTAGCGGGAAAGTACTCACCAACGAGATCTAACGGTGGCGAAAGAGAGTGGAATGTAGCACCGTCCCGACGGCCTCATAGCAATGCTCCAATGGTCTCACGATGAGATAAATTTTTATGGAACAGAGAGAGAAAGGGGAGGCGACAAAATTCAAGGAAAATATTTTTTTAAACGGCATTCTTTTATGAAATATTGTTTTGCAAACTATGCTCATCCATATGGGAAATTCACTAATTCTTGCGAAACTCATACAAAACTACACTTATCACTTGCGAAACTACACTTGCGAAACTCATACAAAACTACACTTGCGAAACTCATACTTGCAGGGGGTTCTTCCAAAGAGTACAAGACTTATCACTCCAGACAACCGATTTTCTGATTTTCTAGGTGTGGATGCTCAGTTTATATTGCATTATATGCAAGGAAAAAAATAGCGCGCTATACAGAATAGCACCGTCCCTTAAATTGTGCTATTATAGTATGCTAAAGTGCGCTACAGTGTGCTATTAGTGAGACATTGTACATTAATATATTTAGCGAGACAATTTTCTACATGCTATAGTGTGCTATTAGCCTCGCTACAGCTTGCTATTTTTTTCAGTGATTCTATTTCCCCATTTTTTTCCCATATGGATGCTCCGTTTCTAGTACACCTGATGTCTCTTGTGTATTCTATATGTCCGCATTTTCTTTCTCTAGAAAAACAAAATATATTCGTTTGCCTCCCAGAAGTGACTAGTTTGTTTCTTCAGACGCATATACATTTCTCACTAGGTTCTTGCGTGCATATGCATCCGGTTATGGGTATATATGCTGCGTATCTTGACCGATACAATGTCGGTCTGGAGCGCTAACGCGTTGGAACGGTGGCTTGTACTGTAGTGACTTTCCATACATATGTCAAATTGTTCTTTCCACGGTGGCTTGTAGGCCTTCAGTTCTTGAAAGAGTCGAACCTCATTTTGTTCTTCATGCGACCCAAAGAGGCCTTAACCTTCTCAGCTCAAGCGAAAATGCATCAATCATGCAAAAACATATGCCCTCAAACCACAGCAACACATAATTATAAGTTGTTCAAATTAACTTAACCCCATAGTTACCCTACATAACAAAGTGCTGACAGAACTCATCAGAACCACATAACTAGTAGTTCATACTTGACCATCCAAAGTCATTCAGAGTCTAGATAATAACAAGGCGCACACAGAACTAATAACCCATTGAGATAACCTCTGACAGTAGATAAATAAACAAGTTCCTTCCTCTCCCAATCATTTAGAGATAATCAGAATAGCAAGAGCCCAAGTGCCCAACCATGACTCAATCTAAGCACTTCTCACGGCGAATGATGTAAACCATCATCTTCAGCGGCTCCTCGCTCTCCATCAGCTTGAAGAGGCAGAGGTCACCCACCTGCAGGTGGTTGCCACGGGCGAAAGCAACCCATCCTTTACAGATCATCATACGATCAATCCCGCGTCGCAGCTCCGTGTCCCACATCCTACTCTTTCCCTCCCGCTGAAGCACCAGACTGATCACATTCTTCTTTCCACGATGCCCGGTAAAGTACTGTTTTTGGAGATATCTTGACGCGTACAGCTTGCCCATGGTCTGTTTATGTGCATATGCGGGGAGGATGTTAGTGACACAGATGCAGATAGGAAAATTTATTGTTGAGGAACTGATAGGCATATTTTGTATTTACTGAACTTACTATTATCATGCCGGATTTCCGAGCAACATTGCACTTGTTCAGGATCGCGACGTAAACTGGTACTGTCGACTCAAAGGCTTCTACTTTCTCCCGCACTTTCTGCTCCTGTGCTGGCGTTATAGAGGCTCTTTCTGGCAGTACGAAGGGGGTCTCAGAAGCTCCCTCAGAATTGTCTCCATCCTCTTCAGGTCTCAAAGATGAAGTATCTTCACCTGAATAGGTTTTTAAAAGGATCAAGCTAAATAGATGAAACTAAATCTTTTTTTTCCATATGAAATGTGTGACCCATAAATTTTAGAATCTGTGATGTCTTGTATGCTGTGTGTGCCATACCATCGGTAGCTGGTTCCTCCTTAACACGGGATGTTAACGTCGTCTTTGCGCCTGTCCTTCTGTCAGTAGTCTTATGTTCGCCTGAATAGGTTTTCAATAGAATCAGGCTGAATTGATGAAAACAAAATATACTTTTCATGTGAAATGTGACCCCTAAATTTTAGCATATGTGATGTCTTATGTGCAGTGTGTGCCATACCATCGGTGGCTGGTTCCTCCTTAACATGGGCTGTTAAGGACGTTTTCTTAACACGGGCTGTTAAGGACGTCTTTGCGCTTGTTCTTCTGTCGGTAGCCGTGTGTGTCATCCCTGCTGTTCCGCCAGGGGAACGACGAACGCTCTCTTTGTGAAGAAGATGGACAATTATGGTAAATCTTCCTTCCTTAACCTTTGCTATTGGCTGAAAGAGGCAGATATCTCCCTCTTGAACACAGTTGTCATGGACAAAGTAGCCCAAATAAAGGTTGCGCCGACCTGGATTAAATCTGCACTTCCATTCCTTGTTCTTCCTAGGCAGCTGAAGTATGATATTTGTAGCTTCACATGGGAAGTACTTGAGTGCGTAGTCCTTACGTATTATCTAATTGAAAAGAAGATAGAGTAGATGGTGATACTGTTGAGCTGTTTTATCTGACAGACGAAGTACACAATACTCTATGACTGTCATACACATGGCTTCAATTGATAAGGCAACAATAATACTGATTTAGTAATGTAGATATAGATTTTATTGCAACCGTATCCTTCACAGGCTTGTTGGGGTTAGAACCAGAACCTAGATCTAGAATTTTGAAACTAAGAAAATTTCACTCAACCTTAAAACCATCGAAATTTGCGAATTTTCTTAAAATGTGAAATACTCCCTCCGTCCGGAAATACTTGTCCTCGAAATGATTGCATCTAGACTTATTTTAGTTATAGATACATTCATTTTATCAATTTCTAGGACAAGTATTTCCGGACGGAGGGAGTAAAATTTAGATAAATTTGAATTTGAGCAATTGGATACATTAGTGTTGTAGCAATAATTCTATTCAAAAAACTCATACATCCAATGGTGCTTTCCATATATCCACTTTGTAGACTCAGGTTCGGATCTCAGCAACGCATTTGTTTTGCAAAAATATTCTACATCAGGCATAAGGCTGAATAAGAAGACAAAACAATGCAAAAATGAGTAGCAAACCCTCAACCTGAGAGGTATTAGAACAATTGCCTACCACTGGGCTATGCGAAGGGCCATGTATTAACAGAGGTTCAAACGTATTTAGAAAAGAAATTTGAAAATACCGAAATATTTCGAACGAAACCGTCTTTCCGAAATAGTAACGATCATAAGTTCATAACTAGAAACTTTGAGTAGCTACAGAAGGTAAGCAGTTCATAAGAAATGCGGATGATAAAACTACCATACCAGATTACCAAAGTTTGCGCTGGTCTTCTTCATCTGTACAACAAGCACCGGGATTTCAGATCGAATTTTCTCTACAAGTGCTTGTATTTTTGCCTCCTGTGCTACTGTAAGATCACATTTCCCTGATAAGACATAGTCATTCAAATGCACCTGTACATCATATGACTCCACCAAATTGTCTCTAGATAGACTGTCTTCAGCTGTAAATAAGTTTCAACAGTAAGAGGACATTTGGTGGAGGTAACTGAATAATCCCAGTACACAACTTACCTGATAATTCCTCAGAAGAATCTGATATTGCAGCCTTCTTTGCTGATTTTTTATAACCGTACGAGCTTTCCTTTTGGCTTCCATCTGAATCTGATCTTTCACTTGGTGAAGACTGAGTAGTACCACCACAAGAACTACTAGAATTATCAACATCAAATGTGCTTGGGTTCCTAACATCAGAAGCAGCAGTTCCCATCCTAGCACAGCACGACGCTTTCTGCTTACCACTGGAATCGAATATTGTAACCTTGAAGCGGGTGTTTCCAAGGTAACGAAACATCAGTGAATAATTTTCTTCTATTTTATTGGCATCAACAAATGATGCCCATCCAGACTTCAAAATTGTTCGGTTCATATTCTCGGTAACTCCAACATCATAGACGTTACCATTAGGGGACTCTAGTTTGACAGTTCTCCAGATCTTTCCTCCAAATTGGTTCACAAACCACTCCGGTATGACCTGTAACAAGAAGGAATGGTGCAAAAACTGTTTGAGGCAACAAAAAAACTCGAAAAACATCGGACAGCCCACTGAATTAGGAAATTAGGAAAGGCAGAAATAGCTAACCAGGCTGTGCATGAAGTTGCCATTGATCTGCCTTAGAAACTTAAGCTTGATCTGGCAGCATTCACATGGATCACTCATCTTGAATAAGTCCTGTAAAACGAACCATATATCATGTGTTTGCATAACTAATGATACCCTAAAATCATTCAAGATCAGTTATGATGCCCTCTCCCAAATCCAAAAGTAAAGGTCATGCCGTTTGTGGTCAGTATGACGCCCTAAATATTTCTTGGAGATCTGATGAGCATAAGCCCCATGTTATTTGGGGCATTGAAAATATAGCCCACTTTTGTTACTCAAATTTGGGGTATGAGCAAATGCAAGCCTGTGCGCTCAGTGCTGGGACTGAATTTCAGGTGTGACCATGGGTGCTAGGACCAAACGTTTTGTACTTGGACTAAATGTTGTGAGAAGAACATTTATGATGTGCATGTATGCTAGATCTGCAAGTTAAAGTTATGCGCATATGCAAATGCAACTGACCATTGTGTTTGTGTGCACTCTGAATATATGCAAAGTTGATGCTTCAGGCATCTTTATATATGATTCATGAATCAGGATCATAGTTTTAAATAGCCGGCTATAGCTTCGCTATAACCCGCTATAGCCTTTTCAGCAGGGTGCCACTAAATGACTGCCTTCATAAATAGCCCGCTTTAGCCCGTTATAGCTGATTTGGAGGCCCGCCGCTATTTTCCATAGCCCGCTATTTAAAACATTGATTAGGATACATGCATTTGGTGCTTGTAGAAAAAATACTAAGTATATGCAAACTTAAATGTTTCAGGCATGAGCTTGATTTTGACAGTATGTATAGACTCCATGCTGGATTTGGCAGCAGCATGAATTGGATAGTGCAAAATGTGCTAGACATGGAGATTTTTTACAACTGAGTTACCTGCGTCGCCTCGATGGTCGTCTTCCTCTGTCCTCGTACGTGGTGGCGCTCCCACCCTGTCTTGTCCGCTCCTGGCTGTACAAGATGAACAAATATGAACAGTGTGCTCAATCAGAGCTGGTGCTGTCGAACCATGGTTATCATGTACTACATGAGAGAGTATGCAAAAAATGCAAATCTATCATAGGGAAAATAATTTTCTGACTGGATCTATTGACTACTAGGCTCCATTTGTGATGCTACTAGGGGGATAAAATGCAGATCTAATATGAATCAACCACTGATGTCTCTTAGAACAGAAAAGAAACACTGATGGTAAGCAATCATAGAACATTCAGTTTCTGAAACTCATATCATGGTAGGACAACATGACTGCTTTGTGCTATATCCTACCAACCAGCTTCCGAAAACCAGCAGAAATAAAAATAAAGCAAAACAACAATGAAACTAAGAACAAATACTATTGCTCCATGCAGATGTGGAAGAAGAGAGGATATGAGTAACTTGCAAACAAAGAGGGTCACTTGCCAGAAGAAGCTCACCGGTGGTGCTGGAGGTAGAGGGGTATGCTGGTCCGGTCTTACTTATGGAGAGAGCATCCAGGGACTGCAAGGGCACACACATGCCAACAGTATAGAGCTGTCATTTGAGCCTGCGCTGCACTTAGGCTTCTCGTATTCCCAAGGCAACTCAGAGAATCTCAGACAACTCAGAGAGATTCTATTCTCACTCTTCGTCTTCCCGATACTATTTACCAAAAAAGTGGGAGAATCTTAGACAACTGGGTGAAAAGGTAGCTTGGTCACGGGTGAAAAAGTAGCATATTTCTTGTGTGTTTTCAACTATATATAATGTTACTTTTACATCTGAGCTTGAACCTGAAAATTTCAGGCAAAATACTACTCCAGATTGAAAGGATATTGCAGGTGTCTTCTTTTTGGAAAAGGAGATTAAACTTCTGGTCTCTGCATCAATCAATGCATGCCGTTGACTCATTTATATTCTAACTCATTTCAGAAGATGTGTCTACCTTTATTAGTAACTAGAAAGCAGCATGGTAAGAACCAATTCTGGAAGTTTACACCCTGTTAAGCTAGCTAATGAAAATCACTGTGTACACAACCAAGACATTACCAGCAGCTATATAATCCAGTCCGAACATATATCAAAATGGTTGTGCACATCACATCAGAGAAAAATACTGCTGATTATTTTCTCGAAAAGATGCATATTATTGCCTCCCATATTCTCGAATTATCGACTAAAGCAGTGACAAGTACCAGCTAATACCGTAATAGAACCAGTGAATAATTTCTAGTCACACATACTCCGGCTACTGGGTGTCATTGCCTGCAATCCGGAAGATTCCGCTGGTATTATGCAAGGATTCCAGCCAGAACCAATGTACAGTAATTACTATGAGATAATCCACCGTGGACATGCCGGTAGGGAGAAGAAGAAAAAATACAAGCAGGAGGAGGATGCGAATGCCCACCGCGCATAACTCTGCTTCCACCCTTGGCCGTCCCCGCCGACCGTCCCCATCCACGATGCCCCAGCACAGCCGAATCATCTCCGTTTGGAGTCAGTGGGATGGGGAGGTTGTAGCTGTACATAGGCACGACGAGCTAGCGCGGGGTCGGGATGGAAGCGAGATCCCTGTCCCCACGGCCGATGCATCCGAAGCCGTCGGGCCCAGGACGGAGAGCACGACACCCAGCGTATATCCCGCCGCCGATCATCCGAGCGGCCGGAGGCCTGCTGGGTTTGGTCGGCGAGGAGGGGAAGCGGTCAGAGTGTTGATGTAGGTGCGGCAGGTGGAATGCCTGCGTCGGCTGGCAGGGGAGTAGCTCCTTAGGAGTAGCAACTCGCGGTGAAAATTGACAGATTTGGGCCTTTTCCAAAAATTTAGCACAAGATAGACCGGTTTTAAAAATATATATCATAAAATGACCACATCTGATTTTTCATTGGATCCAAAATGCCCGATACACCTCGCTTTCCCCTCAGGGCCGGTCCTGAAATTTCAGGGGCCCGGGGTGAAACTACAATCCGGGGCCCTTAGTTTAAATGTATAACTAGTAATCGTCATGCTTGTTCAATCTAATTTTCATTTCATTCCAAGAGTTCATGTTGGTAATGTGGTCAACACTAGCTTCATGTTCTTTCAGTCTCTCACTAATATCACTAATATGCTGCCAATCACAAAACCCATCATGCCCCAATGCACTCTTGCATTTATCAGAATTGAAAAGCTTACAGCAAAAACAAAACACTTTCTTTGCGTATTTTGAAAAAACTAACCATCTTCTATCACGCACCTCTCCATTGCTCATTTTTCTTGAGTAATGGCTATACAAAAAATATCTTAAAGTTTCATCCAAAGGATATTTAGTGTTTTCTTCTTTCCCTTTAGGCCCCTTTTCCACTAATATGGCCCTCGCTTTGTTATCAAGACTACCCCAATTGCTTGGATCATAAATATCCACAGTAATAACCGGCTCCTCATCAACACTAGCAGATTCTGTCGCAGATGAATTAAATATGGGCTCATGATCACTCACATTGGTATCATCCATGTCGATGTCAACATCGTCTTCTGTAGGGGTATGACCATCATCTTCCCGATTGGCATTAGTTTGATCATCCGCGAGAACTATCGCCAACTCCTCTGGATTTCTAGAAATGCCTGTGTTGCTCTTATAATATTTAAAAAGAGATCCTTTCATTGCCTCTTTCTCCTCATCTGCTTCCTTCTTCTTTTCTCTTCTAAGACTTCCGGATGGATACTTTTTACCCGAAGCCCGATGACCTTGCTGAAATTGAAAGGAACAATTAGCAGAAAGCTAATTAAAATATTAGATTATTGCAGATGATCTTCATCTAATATCATGACAAAATCTGGCGGGGCACAATATAGTACCTTCTCTCTGTAATCTAATCTGGCTATATGTGTTCAATCCTCAAAGATTTGATCGCCCAGCCTACAATTTCCTATTGACCTGTTGATTCAGGAATCATGATTAAAAAAACAGGAACAAAGAACACTAGAACAGGCGAGGGCAGACGGCAGAGCCGCAGAGGGCACGAGGAGAGACGTACCTGCTGCCTGCTGCAGTCGGCGTTTCGTTCCGTCGTTCCTCGTTCGTAGGAGGCCGCAGAGACGCAGAGTTCAAGACGGCGATTAAACGAACAGCAGCCAGCGGAAGAACGACCGATCCGAAGGAAAAGGAAACCCTGAATCAAGCGATTCCTTTCCTGTGCACGCACTGTGCCTGTACGTGGTTGAAACATGGGCAATGCCCACATCTCTCTTTCTTTCCTAGGCTGAGGGCTGAGGCGTCGCTGACTTTGGGTCTTTGGCTTCATTTTTTAGCTCGAAGTATACTTATCTATGTACGTATACCTGGGAGGGCCCCCCTGACTTCTGGGGGCCCGGGGCCGCCGCCCCGTTTGCCCCCCTTAGGGCCGGCCCTGTTTCCCCTCCTCCGTCGATGCTCCTGCGAGCGTCCAGGAGGCCAACACTAGTGTCGCCGCTGGGCCCCCCTCCTCCACTCCCTCCTTCCCTCGCCGCCAGCAGGGGCGCGAGTGAGCGAAGCCTGGTCTGTTAGAATAAATCCAAGGCGCTCCGTCGATCTACCGATGACCAGGCAATCACACAAGGCACGACACCGAGATTTGTTAACGAGGTTCACCGTCATGGCTACATCCCCGGGGCCTGACTATGGGCGCTCCTCTCCGTGACACCTCTATAATACCGCACACCGGCCACCCGGGCGCCGGCACACACCGCCGGCTCCCCCTGTGTGCCTGTGCTATTATGTTGGCATCGGTTACATCGTGTGTCTACCCTACATGGAGTCATGTTGAAGGTGGAGCTGGAGTCTGATGGATGGCTACATTCTGAGCTGATGGAGGGGCTACGGCGTAAATGCATGGAGAGTCGAAGCCTATTTCAGCGGGATAGCGAGAGACACGCGGGGTGGACTGGGGCCCAGTGGTCTGATGGAGACGTGATACTCGGCATCGGTCGGTGATGATCGGTGGTTCTCTGCAGTGGGGGTTGAGGCAGTGTGGGCTAGCTAACCGGGAGACTCGACCAGGACAGCAGAGGCTCGACGCGATGATAGCGGCGAGGCGTGTGGTAAGCACGAGACACAGCGACAGGCCAAGGCACTGG